AATGTAAATTTCCCCAACTTCTCTGTGAAATAAATGGAAACTGTTTACTTGAGAAATGAAAGCCAGGGCTGCAGCTCAGCGGTAGAGCTCCCGACTAACATGTGCAGGGCTCTGGCTTCAATACCCAGAAGGCAAAAAACCAAAGGAAAGGATAAACAACCACCTTTCTTGAATTATCATTCTAAAAAGACACTGTAGTACAAGAAACTATCCCTTATCCAAAATGCTTGGGACCAGAAGTTTTTGGGGGGTTTTGATATTTTTCACCACATTTGTTCAATTTTGGAACAGCTGCATGAACATACTGGCTTATCTTAGGGAAGGGATTCCCTAACCAAAAAGTTCACTTATACTTTAAACACACTATCTGAACCCCAGCCTCTAAATGACTGTGTGCAATATTGTTAGGGTCCTTGCCTTTGAACTGTGACAAGTCAAGAAGAGAGAGACGAAATTTTCTACCTGTGGCATCATGTTGGGACTCAAAGTTTCGGAGTTGGGGGCACTTTGCGTTTTGGAGTTTGGGACTAAGGAGGAGTGTGGTAGTGCCTTGGAAGAGGAGAGGACAACCGTTGGCAAGTATATCAACGTTCGTTTTATTTCCTAGTTTGCTATGCTTCAATACACGTACTAAACTTTCCCAATTTTTCATAGCTATCTTAGCCCTTGCTCTCCTATATCAGAGTTTCTCCAAACTACGTTATTTTTTCAGTTTTTATTTTTTATCAGTACATGTTTCCAATATATACTGCAGCACACAATGGGTGTGGGCCTAGAATCTGCAAGGTTAAGCTGCTCTCAGAGTTCACAATGTCTGTCCAGCTCAAAGGTTCAGAAGTTCCAAAGTACAAGTTCTCACAAAGGATATCAAAAAGTCATACCAGCTATTTCGTAACTTCGTATTTCAGACTTACACTCAGAGAAAACAGAGGGAAAAGGGGAAGAAAAGAATTTGGTATTACCACAGTCACTTCACATCTTACAGAAATAACTTATTTCGTCAGGGTTAGGGTCCATAAAACTAGAAGTGTTTCTTACACTTCCAGTGTTTCAGGAGTTTAACAATCAGTAATTAATAAAAATGACCCTATATATTCAGTGATTCCTAGTATACAAAAGGTTTTAAAACCACTCACTTCTATATATACATGTACCAACGCCTCCCCCAAGAATATAACCATTATGTGCTGCAAAAGCATGTATAAATAAAAAAGCACACCCTTCTAAACATTCACTGGCATAAAATAACATTCGAAATCCTTTTTCTTGAATTTCCTCTAACTGTTCAGGGTGTAGAGGTGAAGACATTATGACATTCTGAGACAGATCTTTTCAATAACTGCTATATAAACTATACTACAGTTTTCAAGTACATTTTTATGAGTTGAAACAATTTTTGTCTTTATATGTTAGGGGAGAGGATAAGCAACTTTTGGTAAAAATGCTCACACAGTTAAAACCTTTTTACAGCTTGAGGCAGGTGGGAAGAGAGCTTAACAACAATCTGTGCTATTTGTTTGTTTTAAGGGGCAATGAACTGACACAAACATAAAAAGATCATGGATTATTTAAAACAGGCTTGCAAATGTACAAGTGTAAAATTGCAGTTCTATACTTGGCAAAGTGCAATTTTCTTTAACCATTAAGAAAAACTCCGTATTTGTTCTTTCCTTGAAAAGAAAAATATTTTGCCTAGAATCAAGACAGTCATCAGAAAGTAGAATGTTAACTGAAAGAAAACACTGCAGAATAAATAAAGCAGATCGCTCAGTGCCACCACTACTAAGGGAAGCGTAACAGTGTGTTAGTGTTTGCACTCCAGAGGGACGACAGGCTTGACTGAGCCGAGTCGTCCCAGCCAGCGTCAGGGGGCCCTCTGTGCTGAGACAGCCTCCTCTCAGTTCCTCAGCCGAGCACCCACCCAGGCTTCTGCACGTGCTGCTCCCTTGGTCAGGTCGACATTCTGCGCCCGGTACTTTTCCATCAGTGTGTTGCTCAGGCTTCAGGTCTCAGCTTCTTTACTCCACATCAAATACGGTGCTTGCATGTTTCGCTTCTCTAAGGATCTCCTACTCTCTCCCTCCACAAGAGTGCCTGCACTAGTTGCTCACGCACTGTGCTCTGTGGAGCCTGTCTTTCCCCAGTAGGTTACACATTCCATGTGAGTCTGTTTCACAAGATGTACAGCCAGGATCCCGTGAAAAGGCGGGCACAGTTAGTGAATAAGGTGCAATCACCATACCACCGTTGGATGCTATCACTTCACCTCTGTATAACTCCAAGACTAGGCCCTTCCCACCTGCAAGGATGGGTCACACAAACCACACTGTTACGCACTGGGGGAACCTTACTAAAGTGTACAAACCACTGGGTGCAGGGAAATGAAAACAAATAGTTGAGAAGCATTTGGGTGGAAGTAAGGATGACAGAGTGCTTCTACTGGTAGTACAATCACTCAGTTTTCAGTCAGGCAGTACCCTGCCACTTTCTTCGCACTCCACATGTCTATCTGCCCACTTTTCGTCTTGGTGGTGTGCTCACCATAACTCCTTTCTCTTTTCCTTTTCACTTAAAGTAGCAACGAATGTGAATACACAGCTCTGCCTTTTACCACTGTAAAAGCAACCAGCCTCCACAAGGGCGTCCACCATTCCTGCCGGCGGCCCTCACCTCTCCTGAGTAGCTCAGCTGACCTAGCCGTTACAGGATGCTGTGGGAATGGTGCTGTGAGGCCTCCGAGGCCAGGTCAAGACACCGAGGCACTCACACTGAGCTGTATCACTGCACAGGTATGTTGTAAGAATTACAGCAGCCCCGTGGGGAGGCTCACGTGGCAGTGAACTAAGTTCCTCTGCCAACAGCCTACACTAACTTGCCAGCTGCCCCAGCGCACCTTTGTGGGAAGGAACCCTCCGGCTGACCAAGCTTGCAGATGACTGCGGCTCAGCCAGGTGACTACTACCTCAGAAGAGATCCTCAGCCAAAACTACTCAGTCAAACTGCTCCCAAATTCCAACCTACAGAAATCACGTGAGGTGCTGAATACTTATTGTTGATTTTAGGCTGTGAACTTGTGGGGAAATTTGTTTTACAGCAAAAGATAACTGACAAAGATTATCTCTCTTTACTCAAGTTCACACAGTGTTCTACAAATGTTTATATTAATACAAAGAGACACAAGAAACTCATCTTTAAAATTTACTCCCAATTTATTTCTCCTTTTTCATTAAATCCCATGAGAAAGATGAAGGAAATGGCTCGTCTTTAAAACAAACTTGGAAAAGATTTGAAAACAAGATTCAAATGCTCATCCTTGGAAAATAAGATTCATTTTATTCTGGGAAAGAAAAGCTTTTCTGAAAGGGCTGGAAATATGAGAAAGGGAGGAGAGACATGTGAAGCGCTGTCCCACGGAACAGCATGGGAAGAAGGGAAAAGAAACTCCCGCACTAACCCTGCTCGTGCTTCCCTCCACTTGCTATCATCTTCCTCTGGCAGATGCTACTGAGATCAAGCCCAAAAACGCGCGATAATCAGGGTGTGGGAAGGAAAAATGTGCACATTATATGACACTGCAGGAAGCAGAGGCATCTGTGCTATTAAGAAAAGGAAAAAAAAATGTACGTGGCAGCACTCAGGCATGAAGGTAATTTAAACGTGTATACGATGGGAATTTGTACAAGCACCAGTCTTACTCCTTTTATTTTATGTAGCGGTTTCTTTGATTTTTTTCTTTTCTTTTGACCTTGTCATAATACACATGGAACAGAAAATATGTCAATCAGAAAAAGAAATTTGTCACCATAATGCTTCTTAAAGCTGATGCTGAGCACGTTTTTCCTTTTCCCACAGCCAAGGGTAATTTTTCTAATAAAAAAAGTCTGAATTCCCTTCAGAATTTAAAGAAAATATTACTCTTTTCCTTTTGCTGTCCCCTCTCTAGATTTTCCTGCACTTTTATAATTACCCAGTCTAGGAAGAAGAAAAACTGAGTAATTAAAGTTGTAACAATTCATATTTTCTCCAACATCCAAAAACACTTTTAAAGGAATACTGAAGTAACACCAGCAACAATAGTCTTAACTCTACCTTGTACTGGAATTTTTAAAAAGAATTTTCTTTCTAGACAAGGAGATAAGCAGAAGACACTTAATAGTTGTCAGTCTATTGTTGAACAGTGGCTCCAAAACATATACCACTGGCCCTGTCAGTGTAACAGTGAGAACTAGACACATACAGAAATTCCAAAAACTCAAGCTGAGTTTCAGAGAGAACATAAAAGCCTGACGTGTAATTATGTGAGTTTGTAAGGAGAATTACCATTAATATACATCATTAGTCACCACCTATAACCTTGCAGTTTCTCAAGCTTCTTAAAAGGAAAGAATCAGAAAGACAGGGAAGTCTTCCACAAGCAAAATCCAGAAAAACAACAAAATGATTAGTTACCTGACTACTATTATCAACTTAGCTGCATAACACCTTGCTACCTACACTGAATTCTAGAATTTGCGGGCTAAATCTTTTACGAGAATTCTTAACTGGCTTTGCAGAATTAAAAATGCAGAAAGTTTACAAAGCAGTTCATGGTTTTGATTCTTGAAAAGTTCTGAGCCAGAAACAACCTGGTAAGCTATTCCTGAATTCCTGATCACTGAAACTGTGGAAGGTAGTATCTACTGTTGCTCTGAACTGCTAAGCTTTAGGATAATTCACTATGTAGCAGTACATAACTCATTTTCTCTTTCTTCAAACTGACACAGTTTGCTAGATTTTCACCTTAAGGTAATAAGAAATATAGTATAAAGAAATGTAAAATTACTATGTTTTTACTTATATACACAGAATATGTATATATGAAACAAGTACTTTAAATTTCTTCAGATACCATTAACCCTTAGTTGACACAGGTGCTATTCAGTGCTCACTTTGCTATTAAAACTGCTAAGATAAGCAGACAGGTTAGAACACATGTAAAACTGTTTTAAAAAGTCACCTACCCTTGAGAGGATCATGCTCTGCTCTCATAATATCAATAAGGGAATTTTCCAGAGAGTGCATATTCAAGCTGTCATACATTCTACTTCGATCCTGGAAGAAAAAAAAAAAGACTTATGATCTATGCAATTTTTTTTCAAAATATGGTTAAATACACTATCTAAATTCTCTTATATAATAGAGCATCTGATTAATTTGGTACTACTAGTCAACTTGTATTCCAAGAAAACACGAACAACTGAGGATCACATGAGCTACAATGTCTTTTACCAGGAAACAATGTTTTCAATACAGTTATCTCCAAAATAAATACCGAAAGTAATCTAATTTCATTTGAAATATTACTGTAATAGAGTAAGATATTTTATCATTCTCTATAAAGATTCTTGAAATTTTATACACCCTGAAAACATTTATGTTGTTTAACTTGTAAATTTTTTCTCACATATCTAGAAAGACAGACGCTGGCATTGGGAAAGTAATTATCTAAGACAAAAAAGATTTAATTCCATAATTGCACCATACTTTAAACATCTATCAGACATATTATTTGACTTAGTCGTCTGAATTTCATAACAATGAATGCATAAACATCTTATGCAGTAAAGATCAAAAGCAAGAATACGAATATCAGAACAAAGACTAATGCCTCAAATATTTATATTCAAATCAGTCTCCACAGTGTTCCTACATTGTTTGCTCTGTGTTGCAATCCTTCCTGCCCCAATCCTCTCCTTAGTGAACATGCTCTCAGCTCACTAAGTTTCCTGCTTCACCAAGTCTCAGAATAGTTTTGTTTTGCATTGTCAGAAGTCATGTGTTCAGCCCCTTAACTTGCTTACTACAAAGCATTTGTTTCTTTACTGCCCACGAGTTTATACTGTATTCTGTTCAACACATACTCAATACATGTGAGAAAATATACACGGAAAGCTGTCACAGCAAGCTGTGGCCCCTGCTCTCCAAACAGCCTGGAAATCTTTGCCCTAATAGGTCAGTGCCAGTCCCCACCCATTTTTGGGCATGAATATGCTTGTGTATAAATTTAAATATATGTGCACGATGTGGGGACAGGATAGGCTCTTTTAAACTCAGCAAATGATTACCTCTGAAAACAGAAGGGGAAGAAGCAGAAAACTAAGTGGGAAAAAGGTGAACACAGAAAGCAAAACTAAACACTTAACCTGAATCCATGTGCTACAAGAGACACCATCAGTCACTGGAATTATATTTGGTGTACTATTCAAGTGGGCGTATACATATTCCGCCCCCCCCCCCAATAAAATGTTTATGTTTTCTAAAAGGTTCGCAATCCAGAAGATTCAGAATCAGTGTTTTAGAAGGCTGAAAAAAGAAAACCTAAGAAGTTTTCCCAAGAATATGCTCATTTATTTATCCTATTTTGATGTTTAAATTATGGTTATAAGCATTATAAAGCTTAGGTGTCTGAATCAGTCCTGCAGACTAAACAAGGTGCTATGAAGGAATTAAAAAGGGTGAAAAGTAACACTGAATAATGGAAAGAATGCTAGACAGAACTGAACTGGTGCACACCCCTGTAAGTCCAGTACCCTGGAAGCTGAGATGGGAGGATCACCACAAGTTTGAGGCCTGCCTGGGCTATGTAGTGACTTCAACACCAGCCTGAACTACACAGAGAGATTCTGTTTCAAAAAACCAAGCTAGACAGCAGGCTCTTGCTCCAGCTTTATTACCAGCTACTGTTAGTTCCCTGACTGATTTTTACTGAAAGACCCTAGAAGTGTAACTTGCTATATTACAGCTTCTTGCCTCTCTGTGTCTCCAAACTTGAGCATGCTCCAGAATTATCTGAACAGCTGGTGAACACAAGTACTGAGACACATCCACGGTCTGATTCAGCAGCCCTGGAGTGGTGCCTGAGAGCTGCTCACTTCAAACAAGTGCTCAGGTGACACTGTCACTGCTAGCCTATAGACCACACTGTGGACTGCAGAGTTTTCTGATGCTGTAAATCACTAACCCTCCTCAGGCTCTGGTCCCACCTTCTCGAAAGTAACCCGATCAGACTAGATCTTTAACAAAAATTAGAAAAAGACTGAAAGCATTAGAAAAATAAATGAAATAAAGCTTGACCAGAAAAGAGGATGGCTTTGCGCAAAAATGACCTATCATTTTGAGAATCTGCAAATATTTCCATCTTCTGTGTGTCTGTTTTACTATGCTCAACTAATTTGATTTTCCTGTCTCTCAAATGTTTATTACGTGAGTACTACTTTATCTCTCCCATAAAATACTTTGTAAAAATGTGTGAACTGAGTCCTAACAAGGCAAAAAGTATTCTTTTTAAATGGTAATTATAAAGGACTATAAAGCGTCTCAAAATCCTTCAGAGACTAGGAAGCCAAATGTTATCTGACTAAGTTGAGGCAAGTACTAGATATTAATGTGCCCTTGATATCAATGTCAAATTTCCAACCATGCAAGAGAAGACTATTATTACATTCAAAGTTCCAAGATGTATTTAAAATAAAATTATAAACAGTTATGATAAAAATTGTTCACATTAACTAAGCAAAGGCAAAGCTCTCCAAAGGTATGATGTATCATATAGGTTCTAAGAGTGTATTATAAGTACTTTTAGAATACTTTATATTTTATATACCCTAATTCTTGGAAATGATATGAGATATATGTATTACAATTCACACCTATCTTTTCAGGTTCATGATTCTGAATAGAATTATCCTATGCCAGCTCTTCTTCAATCTATGACCTTAGTTAAAAGTGACTATTAATATCACCCAAATGATATTTCTCAAGGAACCTTCTTTCTCTGGGGAAGGGCAGGAGGCACCTTCCATTTGCAATGCAAGATGTATCCCCTTGCTCTAGAGTGCAATAATATTTTGAAGTAGTTTTATATATACTGTTAGTGGGTCACAGACAATATTTTAGGCATGAAAGCAAAAAGTCTTAGGGAAACCATCCAACAAGCATAAGTACTGTACAATCAACTCAAGAGTTATTACTCAAAAAAGTAGCATGTATTTAAACTTTAGTTTAAATACCTGTGTCCAAATGAATCTGAGATGGCCACTTATAAGGTCCCCTATTTTTGCTCTTATCTTAGATCTTTGAATACTCCTACTTTGGGAGAACAGCAAAGCTATTTTAACTATTTGCTTAGTTATACTTTCTTAAACATCAGCTGCATCCCATATGATTTTTAAAGCAGCAAACATAAAATAGCCTAGAGCAAGTAAGTCATAACATCTCAAAATCACCCTTTGAATGTAATGAAACTTGTAGGCTCGTACACAAGCAATTCCATTAAGTAAATCTGGGAGACTGAATTCTGACTTCTAAAGAAAAAGAAATAAATCTGGCTATACAACAAGGATGTATTCTTCTGAAATAAGAATATTTGAAAAATCTGTGTTCATGAAAATTGCCATTGGTTTAAAAACTAAATGGAAGTCCTTTGGCAATTTTAAAGGAAACGTGAACACACCAATACTGATCTGTATTGATGTGGAATATCACAGCAATGCTTCTTCCCACTGGTTGTATTTTGAATATAATTAAAGAACTAAACACAAGAGAGGAACATAAGGAAGTGCCCACTACTCGAGCACATACACAAGAGCCTATCTTCTTTTCCATGTACAAGTATGAAAGTCTCAAAAAAGTATGTTCCTGTAGTTCGTCTGGGTTAAGAAGCATAACCTATGCAATGCTTTCTTGGATAAAAATACTGAACGTGGGCCACTCTTACATGCTTCGTTTCTTGTCAGGTGATGTTATGGCCCCAAAAGCCTCCCACGCTCCTAGGCGGGGTGCTGGAGGAGGACTGAGTCCTGGTGGCCTATCACTGACTCACTGTCAGGAGGTGGGGTCTGCCAGGAGGTGCTCGTCACTGGAACCTGACCTGGAAGGGTCTGTGTCCTCTCCAGCTCCTCCTCTCTCTGCTTCCTGGCTGCCACGACAGGAGCAGTTTTCCTCCACCCTGGCCCATCCAACATGCTGCTTCTGTGTTTAAGCCTGAAATTCTGAAACTGAGCTGAAGTAAACCTCTCCTCCTTTAAACTGTATGTGTTAAGTGCTGGGGATTGTGTCTCAGTGACAATACAATGACTAAGACACGAGAGTTAAGACTCAAATGATATGTTTAAGCTATCTCCAAACTGTGACTTATCAAAATATTGTAATAGCTTGGATATTAAATATTGGCAGGACATACCTCCAACTAATTCAAAGTAGTTTGTGTGATACAGAACAAAAATCTAGAACTGAGTCTTTTGCTGTTCCCCCAATTAGGGACAGGCCGATGCACATACAGGCTTTACACACTGTACTGTAATTGCTCACTGTTGTTCTGTTTACAGTAAACTGCTGAGCCATACTGTCATGGCTGTGTCTACATGTCCTCTCACAGCCCCTTGCAGTCATAGGTGGGGCTTTTTCAGAGGTGGCTGGATCTAGAGTGTGTAATGCTAGAACTGATTCATGGTGCAGTGCTAGGATCAAGGGCACTAGGATTAAGGGTGTGAGTGCTACCTGCCCTGAGTAGCTTGGATACGATATGAGGGATAGAAAGAGCTGCAGCTGGCCCTTGCTTGTTTTGTTACCTTCTTCCCACCAGGAACTCTTTCTCCTCTTCAATGCCTGACTGCCACAGCACCCTGCCTTGGAGTCAGCAGATTATGGACTGAAACCTCTACAAAGTGTGAGCTAAATAAACCTTTCAACCTTTAAACTTGTGTGTTGGGTATTTTGCCTGAGCAATGAGAGAAAAAGTAACTGAGACACGTATACAAACTTGTAAAATAATATTAACCTCAGTTAAAAGGATATTTACTGTGACTTGCAATATGTAAGTATTAATGAATAAAAATACTGTAACCTTAATAGCTAACTGAAAATTAAAGTAATTTAGAAATCACATTTTTGCATATTTCTTGCAAAAGTAACTACCTAATACTGTTTTAAAGTAAATTCTCAATCCAAAATTAACAAATACATAATAATCATTTTAAAGTCAGAAATGTGCATAAAAACTTACATTTGCTTTTAAGAAGTTTTGAATCTGAAAATTTCCCACTAATCTTACTTAAAGTAAGAAATGTCAACTCACAAAATGTGACTTTATAACAAATAAAACTACTTCTTTTCCATTTATTGAATTCAGTTACGTTTTCAGATCTTGGTATAGGTTAAGGCTTGAAGTATCCAGGCAGGAAAATTAAAACCTCCCTTCTACAAATTAATATATTCTAGACCTAATTAATTTGAGAAAAAATGGATAAATCAACAGTTTAAATACTGTATTTGTTAGCAAAACTACAAGTATTAAAATGTTGCATATGATGACAAAAGGTCAGAAATAGAAATAATATCAGATGTTTGGGTGCTTATTATTTATAATTTTAAATTTAATTTTGCTTTAAAATGTTTGTGTTTCAGCATTTTGAAATACCAATTCAGTCTGTAGCAGCTGCTGCTGTATTTTTAAGAACCTCAACTTCAAATACCTCAACCTTTTATGGGAAGATAGAAACAGAACAAATTTTGTGTAAGATCCCAGAAGGAACTCAAAGGACCCAATGACATTACTGTTAAGACTAGTAGGAAGGTCATAGATTACTCCTTCTGCTGCTTGACACCGTTGCCTTAAAGCATCCCTACAAGAACCCAAGCCCCTTATAGTCTTAAAAAAAAAAAAAGCCAGAGAATTAGGATGAGGAGTTGAGAAACATGGCAAAACAGAGAAAGCACAGAACTAGCTGAAAAGGAATTACTATGACCTAGTTCAAGGTTCTTCTTTTAGAGATATGGAAACTATGACCCAGAGGGATGGAAACCTATGAACTAGTATCATTCCACATTATAGAGATTTTGAGAGGAAGAGGAAGAAGATCTAAGTTTCAGACCTTTCTCTAGTTTACTTCCCACTACTATCTTCAACTCCATTGTACTATACCTATGTTCAGGGGGCCACAGGAAATGCTAGTATTCCAATAGTCTACCAAAAAATGTATCTTTAAGCACCAAAGTCCTTTATCCAAAAATAAATTTACAGAAAACCTTAGGCTGTAAATCTGGTCAAAGAGAATAGCTTTGACTGAAGTCTAACTGGGAGGGAGGGCATTCTTGTCAGGTAGCTGTTCCCTGGCCAAGTATGAAAACCTCCCTTTTGTTATCACGTGTGTCTGCTCTCTCGCTACACTCCAACAGCTAAAGCTATTTCAGTAATCTAATTGTTCAACATATGCCCCTGCCCCCAGGACCCAGACATATCCTACTGCTTCTGCACATACATGCAGAATAATCAGGTCCTGTCCTCTCTAAAAATACTTGCCTTGCCATTTTCAAATTAATCACAATGATTTTCCTTTCCTAATACACAACCTCCTTGGTATTTTAACAGTATAAAAGGATTACCACAAGTAAAAATGTCACTAAGACAAGTTAGCTGGGCCAGAGTAAAAAAGAGAATAGAAATAGCCTAATAGTTAACATATTAACAAGATAAAAATTGTCAATTATACTACTATTTCTAAGTGGAGACACTGACAGGACAACTTTGGCAAATAGGCAGGACTTGTCTAAAATAACTCTAAGAGTTAATTATTGAAGTTAGGACTTAATCCTCTAAATCAGAATGTTCACAAATGTATTATTAATCTGCTTACACAGTCTTTACTTTTAAAATCATCTCTTGCTGTTAAATTGACTGAGAAAGAGCCTTAGCTAAGGATAACAGTTTCATTCATTTAACTCAGAGAACCTCAAGTCTACACTCAGTCAAATGTAAGGACTGAGTTTTCTCTCTCCTACAGTAATCCTCATCACCTGGCACCCAGTACACATTCAAATGCAGTCTGCAGGAAGATAGCATTTTGCAACCACAAGGCTCTTGAAGATACATAACTGAAAGCACAATAATAAAATTTAGAATAAATAAATATTATACCCTGAAGTTTTTACAAAGGTGAAATACTAAACCAGGACAGGGCTTTTTCAAAAATATATCCCGAAATGAATACAGAAATTTCAAGAGAAGGGGCTGGGGATTTAGCTCAGCGGCAAAGCGCCTGCCTGGAAGTGCAAGGTCGTGAGTTCAATTCCTGGTACCCGAAGAAAAACAAAAACAAACAAACAAGAAAAAACAAAACAAAACAAAAAAAAAAAGAAAATTTCAAGAGAAAAGCTTACTGGAAAGTTTTGTAAAACATGACCTTAAGTAAACAACGACTTTGTACCTAATTGCAAATCATTCTTAAAGGAGATAACAATCTGTTTAGTTTGACTGATGTTTAAAGTCAGGTGCTCTTGGGTGTATGATTAATTCCTTTTTCCAAAAACATTTATTCGGCTTTAGAAATATAAAATGATTACAAATCATTTAAATTTGAAAATGACGATTTTATATCAAGTAGTGTAAATTAGGCGATTTTTTAAAACATAAATTGCTTCAATGCCCACTTACATATGCTTAAGTAAGTATAATTGAATTGCAAATGATAAAGCCTATTCGTAATGTAAATACTAAGCTCCTAGCCAAAACCCTGAGAAATATACACTGTGCAGCCTACCTGGTCTATTCTGGATGTTCCGGCTGCAGTGCACCAACTATCTTGGAGGGAATCTGAGCCCCAAGCTGGCAACTGCAAACTAGATCTCACCTTCAATAGCATAGAAGTTTTCATCAGAAATGAGCAGTTCTCCTCCCCACACCAACCCCCCCAAAAAACAGAAAGAAAGAAAATAATCAAAGTTCTTCCTATCTTAAATTTCTGTTCTATCCTCTGAAAGTTTCAGGGAACATAAAATTTCACTTGAAATAGCCATAAAGGAACCTCAGCAAAATATTAAAAGACGTGAAAACAACAAGTCTAATCACCGTAAGTATTAGACTACATTTGGACAAAAATAGTCATCAAACCAGTGAAGACAAATTTGAATTAGATATAAAAAAGCTTTAATATTTTAACATTACTGTGCCAAAATTACAGCTGTACTAAACATATTCTAATATACAGACAGCTGATCATAAAAAATCTATGAGTATTACAGTTACATAATATTTTAGCTTAGCTATATTATAAGAAAAGCAAATTTTGGTGATCTCCTAGAGCTTAATAAAAGACAATTTTAAGAAGCTGCTAATTAAAAGCTTCAATCTTTATTTAAGAAACACAAAAAGTTTCTGTACATTTTAGAAAGCCTGTTTTCAAAGCTTATTCTGTCTTGCGTGTCATTTTTACATTCTCGATTTCTTCCTGTGTATTCTGCTCTTTGATAATTAAAATATATACTTAACAACTAGAAATGTATTTTTCAAAACTCTGTTAATTGTACCGTACTGCTATCACTACTGCCATCACCCAACTTCCTATTTTGAAAGGTTAACATCAGAAATAAAGCTGTTTACATACCATTCTTACCTGTAAGGGTAAGAGTGTGTTACTATTGTTGTCTGTTCTGAACACATTATCTTCGATCCAAGACTTTGGAGTCAGTGATGGAGTAGAGCGAGTAAATTTCGGCGGTGCTATGACATTACCGGAGAAGGGCTTCTTCAGTGGAGATATCTGATTCATAGTTCCTGGAATCCCCATGTTTCCGGTTCTCCGATGATCTCTGCCATGCATCGCTCCCCAAGACATGCTTCCTGTGCCCCAGCCACTGCTCTGATGGTTGCTCCAAGGAGACTGCTTCAGAAGAGGCTGGGGAGAACACATCTGCTTCAGTCAGAGGCTCTAGGGAGTCTAGAATTCCAACTCAGCCTTTACACCTGAGCTACAAATGTCAGTGACCATTAAAAACTGAAATACATAAATCAACAGCATATCTGAAGTAGCTTACAAATAGTCACAGGCTAGAGATCTTCCTATCTGAGGTCCTATTCATTTAATATTGGGCAAGCTTTCCTCTTCTTATCTACATATATTTCACAGACACAGAACCATGCAGTTACTTTTTTCCTACAGGAAGAGTTGCAAAGATTAAAAAAATATATACTTTTAACGTATTTTTAAAATAAATGTTCCAAAGTGTAACATAATCTACATTGTAATCTAAATGCTATTATATTCTGCAAGCTCTTGTATATTAAGTGGTCTTTCTCAATTAAAATATTCCAGTTACATTTGTGAAAATTTTAGATCTTCGTCTTCCAAAACAAGTTGTACTATTACAGTCTGTCCTATGAATTAAAGATGCCTTTCAAATTAGGGCAGTATAGGAAATCTACCTTTTTTTTTCATTCTTCATTCAATTTTTAAGGTGTGTCATTCTAGTTTTAGTAGTTTCTTTAAAAATATTTTTACTTCACTGATCCATGAACCGTTAAGCAATTATCTGATGGTACCCATAGGTGGATCCACTGAGATACATTGCCAATAAACTATGGACTTAAATATTCAAGTCTCTTAAAGTCATTTTCAAAAGTAAATTATATTTCAGTCTAGAACCTATGGCATGAAAAACTGTCATCAAAGAATGCAAAACCCACGTCTACAGCAGTTTTTTCTTTTTCTCAAGGAAGAATACATTGCTAGGAATTCTACTGGCAATGAGTTAACACGCTTAACAATCTTGTGCAAAGACTGAGCCAACGGCAGTATTGTCACTCAAAATCAATAAATAGGATACTCTGAAAAATTAAACCTTCTTACAAGATCATTTTTTAGGACGCTGATATATAATGCCTTTTTAAAAATTTCTCAAGTGCTCACACAGTCATGAACATACACTTTCTAAGCATAACTAAGGGGCCATGAACAAATCACTCCGTGCATGAGGGCCTTACTTTCCTTATTAAAATGGCTCAAGGCTCAAAGTTCTCTTTCAGTGATCTAAAATTCCATAAGAAAGCTGTGTGATCTCATAGGGCCCACGGTGAGACTCATTTTTTTGTCCAAAAGCAGACTGCAGTTAAATATGGATTATGGTACATGCTCTGCTAACGTTTTATATTATGGCTTTAATACAAAATTACCTCTAAATTTCTGTGGAAGTTTCGAGTTAAAAAAATGAAAACCTCCAGGCACAAAGCACAGTTGCTCAAGATCACCTAAACCGTGGTAAAGTAGAATATTATCTCAAAATTTCAGCGTTTTCATCCTTACAGGTCACATTCTCTTTACGCAGGGAGAAACCAGTGAAGAAAACAGTCAACAAAAAACTGTTAACTGTTACTTGGGTGAACTAAGACAGGATTCACACTTTACAAGGTTAACCCCTGAAAACCGGTCAACGGAAAAAGTTCCACGAGTTAAGCAAGCACCGGTTAAGGTCAAATTCCGTTTCTCTGTCAATCCTTAATCGTGGAAATGTCCTTAAACGAATTATCACCATAATACATGCTGACTTGATCTTTAAAAATAAGCTCTTTCAACGTCTATGATCCACTCCGAGGTCACCTCAGGAAACCGTACGGAGGATCACTGAAAAGATCTTGAGTCCGAAAAGACTCGGGTAAACGCAAATCCTGCCCGCGATATCCCATGACAGGTCCCAGTGACAACACGCAACCCACCACTGCCTTCCCCAAGGCGAACGTCGGTCCAGGCTGTCGCAAAGTCCCCAAGGGAAACACACGACCCTGGACCCTGGTGTCCTTTGGTTTTTAAACCCACAGGACCGCACCCAAACGTGAAAAACCACAGAAACCAAAGCGATGCCCACCCCGGAGGACTTCGACCTTGACAGCCGCGGACGGCGCGACGCGCTCCCGCCCGGGCAGAGGCGCAGGTGACACGGCGGGCCGGGCGTTGGGGCGACCCGAGCCGCGGCTCCGGCCACCGACGGCGGAGGAAGCGCCAAGAG